TTCACTTCCAATGGCTATGGCGACATAGCGCCCATACAACTCTCTGTTCGCATACAGTGGATCACCCTGGATATCCCACACGTGTCTCTCTGAACTCTCACACACACACGCACACACTGAACTCTAACTACAGCTATGGCGGCTATGGCCGCCGCTACCCTATCACTATGGCTAAGCTTCGTCTCTCTGCCCACTTCGTCTTCGGGCTCACCGCAGACCTCCTCGCACAAGTTGTTGTGGCAGCGCTTCCGCATGGCTCACGCAGGAATGAATGAATGGCTGGGCGCTGCCTCTCGATTTATACTTCTGCAGTGCGTTGGTCTGACCCTTTCCCATGCCCGAAGTGCACACAGTCCCATACGGTACTTGCTGGACTGGACTAGGACTGACTGGGAAATGAGACTGTTGACTCAGCACGGGTAGACTCCACCACTTGCCCACTTGCCTCGCCACTTGCCCACTTGCCTCGGTCTAAACGTGGGCAACTTCAAAAGGCCACTTCTGGGACCTTCCGGAAGGCCGTGGACTTGGCCTTTCGTGACTGTAGCAGCTATTACCTTGACCCTTCTGGACTGTAGCAGCTACCACTGTTAGACTTGACTAAGACTCCTACTCGACAGGTCTACAGATCGAACCCCTGCGACCTTTGGACCCTACGACAGCCTACCACTGTTACAAATACACAGGTCACGGGTTCAACTCCAAGGGCCGACACAGATATTGTACACAGGTAAGGTGGGGACTAGGGATCGAGCCTTGGGGTCTGCATCAGCTACTGCGAATTGGTGAATACCGTTTCACTCATGCCGGCCTATATTCGAGGTCCTTCGAGAATAACTCAGTCCAAGGCTGGACCTTTACCTCTCTGGTCTCTTTCATAGGCTCTAACTATATCGGGAGCTGTCTCTAAAAGTTCTGCTCTAGTGAACCAGCGGTCATCCTCAGGCTCTTGATAAGCAAACCGGACCTTATACTGTTTCTGTGGACGACCTCTACCCCCTGTTCGGAATACATCTTCACCTACAATGCCGTCAATGCCATATCTTTCGTCCATGTCTGGAGGGATCATGGACCGTCTAGAGGGAAAATGCTGACTTGTGACACACGACAGTAACTTTGAGGCGTGAAACACAGGGTAGGTGTGGAGGTGTGTTGGGATCTCTATAGTGTAGGACGGCCCATCCTCTCCGCCCTTAACTTCCAGAACCGGCCACGGTCCTCTATATGCAGACAGTAACTTCTGCGAGATGTTCTCCTCAGGTGCAAACTCCTTAGACTTGACCTAGACCAGGTCGCCAACATGAAATCATTGCGATGGGCGACGATGCTTATTAGCCTGTTCTATCATTCGGTGTTGGGCCTTCCTGAGGTTTTCAACAACAGTGGCTATCTCTTTCTCATGCTGTATTGTGAACTCCCTGGTACGGGGCGGTAGCCTATGAGCCTGATCCCGGTTAAGTCCCTCAAACGGTCTATGTGGTCTAAAGGACTTATGTAACTCGATGGGAGTGCGACAGGTAGACAAATGTACATTGTTATTGTATGTGCTGGCTACCTTGGGTAACATCTCGTCCTAGTTAAGGGTCTAATGTACATGCGCAAAACTTGCTGCAGGATCTTGTTCATCTGCTCTGTCTGACAGTTAGTCTCTTGATGACGGTCAGACGACATCAGCAACTTGGATCCATAAACTCTCATGACTTCCTGCCAGTTCTGACTGGTGAAGCAATCATCTCTATCGCTAACTATGGACAACGGGACTCCATGTTCACTCTAACCCAAAAATCAAAGAACTTCTGTATCACTAACTTTTTGCGCGCCTCTGCGGGCAAAGGAACAAAAATAGCATACTTGCTAAACCTATCAACTACGACCATGACTTGGCTCTTGTCGTGTCTACTCTTGACACCGGCATCCATGAAGTCAATGGAGACTGAATGTCCAGGCTGGTCTGGAATGGGCAAGGGTCTGAGAAGACCGAGAGGGGCACGGGTTGTGGTCTTGTTCCTCTGACAGACTTTACAACTGCGGACATACTCTGTGCACTGCCAGTCGTTCTTCATTCCTGTACAGGTGTATGCGTGCGTAAGATTGACCAAAGTCTTCTACCAACCAAAGTGTCTCTTTGTATCATGGCATTCCCCTAGGATCAGACTGCGGATTTCCTCACTGTTGGGAATGCATAGGCAGTCGACTACATTAGTTTTCTCAAATAGTAAGCCCTCTGTAGTGTGATAATCTGGATCTGTTTCTGGGGCCTCCTTAACTCTCTTGAGGAGGTCATTATAGATAGGGTTCTGCGCATACACCTGTCTAACTTTGTCCTGCAGGTCACTCCCTATGTCTAGATAGTGAACTATGGCTCCAAAGTAGTCCGATCTCCTACTCAGAGCATCCGCAACTACATTGTACTTACCCTTAACTGGTTTGAGCTCAAAGTCATAGTGGTCTATCTCGGCGGCCCACCTAGTCAACTTAGGCGTCATTTTGACCTGTGTCTTCAACCATCTAAGCGTCTCGTGGTCGGAGTACACCTTGAAGTGCCTCCCAAGCAGGTAATGCTTCCAATGCTCTAAAGCCTGCCTGAGAGCGTAGAGTTCCCTCTCGTACGTCGAGGTAGCAACCTTCTCTGATGGCATCCTCGCTGACATGAACTCTATGGGTCTGTAGCCATTGCCGTCGTCCTGCTGTAACACGATGCCTATTCCATACTGACTCGCGTCCGTGGTGACGACAAATGGTAAAGACGGATCTGCTACCTTGAGGACAGGATACTCTATCAATGCACGCTTTAATTTCTTCAACGCAGACGTGCAGTCTTTATCCCATTGCCAGATCACCTCTTTCTTGAGCAACCTGCGCAAGGGAGCGGCAATAGTAGAGAAGTTCCTCACGAACTTCCTGTAGTAATTAGCTAGGCCCAGAAACGACCGCAACTCTGTCAATGTGCAGGGTGTCGGCCAGTCTCTAATTGCGGCGATCTTATTGTCCTCTGGCTTAATGTCATCTCCGTCTAACACGTGGCCCAAGTACAGGACTCGTGTCTTGGCCCACTCACACTTCTTTGCATTGATCTTGAAGTTAGTTTCTCTCAGCTTATCCAAGACCTGCCTCAGATGACCCTGGTGCTCCTGGAGGGTCCTACTGAATACTAGGATATCGTCTAAGTATACTACGACAAATCTATCTAACCACGGCCCGAACAGATCATTCATACGTCGCTGAAATGTCGTTGGAGCATTGGTCAGTCCAAAGGGCATCACTATGAACTTATAATGCCCATACCTAGTCCGGAACGCAGTCTTATACTGGTCATCAGGATGAACCTCTATCTGATGATAACCGGACTTCAAATCTATTTTTGAGAAATACTTGCAACCCTGCACCTGATCTAAGAGATCGTCTATCCTGAGCAATTGTTCAACATTCTTGATTGTAATCGCATTCAGACCCCTATAGTCTATACACATGCGCAACTCTCCTTCCTTCTTGGGGACAAACAGAATTGTCCAAAAGGAGACGAACTGGGCCTGATCCAACCTTTCTCAAGAAGCTTGTCCAACTGCTTGCGCAACTCCTCTAACTCTCTAGGGGACATCCTATAGACGGCTCCCTTGGGAATTCCACTGCCAGGCTCTATCTCTATCCTGTGCTGGATCGGCCACAACACTCCTCCTGTCGGCGGCTCAGATAAGTCTTTGAACTCTTCCTGTAGCTTGGCTATGGATGGATTTGTGGAACTTACTTCTTCCTTAGCCTCAGTGATAGCCTAATAGGTCTAACATATACTACAAAGACCTGATCCTCTAACTGCTCCTTCTTTACTAATCGTGTGAACGCGGGAGCACTGAGACATCAATGTGCCAGTGAGTTGTCTACTCCTGACACATGGAATAGGCGGGCAGTTTTGACCTCGTCTGATGGACTAGGGAGCCTACACTCATGCTCTCTCAAGTGGAGTGTGGCCCCCGCTGCCTCTCCCCAGTCCATACCTAGGACTATATCAAACAAAAGGTTATCCTGTACGAGGAGAGTCAGGGAATGAAAAACTCTCTCTACCTTCCCATCTTTCTCTAGGCGGAAATAGACCTGGACTCCCTCTACATAATCCTCAACTCGCATTGTACTATTGTCTGCGAGGACACTGACTATGACGTCTTTCAATTTCTGGACTTTTAATCCTAGCCTCAATTTTTTCAGCGCTCTACGGCTATGTAACTACGAGTAGCCCCTGAATCTATAAAGGCCCCCACTCTACTCCTAAACACTTCTATATCCACTAACACTAGCTGCCCTTTACTATCTTTCTTCATCTTGGCCCGGGCTGGCATCCTTTCCTTCAATTCCTCTGCCACGCCTGTGAGGGACGTTTCTAGAGAGACGCTGACACAAGCAGTCTCTCGACAACTAGCTAGGCACGGGCCTGCAACCTCTGCCGAAGGCACATGTGGTGTGGGGGGTTCCTATACGAGCGCTCTCGCTTCCCCACATGGCCTAAGAGTAGGGGCAGTTGCAACCCCTACTGGCGGCTGCCTTTTGACTCCTGGGCAGCCCACCAGGCCTGTCTGTATTTAGGACAGTATTTAGTGATATGGGCAGGGTCACCGCAGTAAATGCACTGCCCCTGCTCCATCCGTTGCTGCCATACTTTCTGGTCCAGGCCCAGATCTTCCCAGGGACGGCCTTGTGGCCAACCCGGGTGCCAACCTCCTGACCGTTGAGGTGACCAGCCACCTCGTCGCTGTGGGGACCGAGTGGGACCTTGACGATTCGGCGGGGGACCTTGACCCCTACCTCCCACTTGGCGGTTCCCTTGACCGCCAACCCCATGTGCGCCCAATCCTCGGTATCCCATGGCTTGGCCCCTTTGACTCTGGCCTCCTCTAACTTGCGACCTCCCTCCATCCGCTATAGTAGCATAAGACATCCCCTGCCCTACGCTGCTGTCCTCCTCCTCGATCCCCACTCTAGCTGGCTGTAGGGGACCTCATAAGCACCATCTTCCTCCAATTTAAGGACCATGTGATCCTTGGCCCTCACCTGGCCTGAGATGGTACGCCCTTTCCACTTTTTACCCTTGTCTTTGTCCTTATGCCAGAAAGTGGAAACTGACATGGACTTTGCCTCGAACAGCACCACTACTCAGCGCATCATACGTCATAGTGGGTTTTTGAGACTTATCGAAGAAGTGTCCTCGTAAGGGCTCTGGCATGGCACGATAAAAGAGTTGGACCAGTTGGGACTCAGTAAGCCCATAGTCTGGGATGGCCACCAGGTCGTCCATGACAGCTTTGAGTGCCTTTGCACTCTTCCACTGCCGTGAGTGGATGGTCTGGAGTTTATCAGAGGCTCTAATGCCTCTTCGCAAATCAGCAAATCGCTCCCTCAAGAGCTTGAAGAATTGAGCGAGGGGGGTGACTTTGGAGTAAGCGACCATGTTGTTTTCACAACCGGCCGCACGCACGAGGGACCTAGCGAAACTAGTTGCTTCATCCCTGAGGGCCTGGAAGGCAACGAGGATCTGATCGTCCTGCGCAATCTGCTGTAAATGAACATACGTATTGACACTTGCCTCCCAGTTATCGAAGTTTTCGTCAGACTTCCCGCCATAGGCATCTGGGAACTTCAGCTTGACTGGTTCCCTGCGGGGTCTAGACTCACTCTCGGCAGTGGCTACTACCTTGGCGCCTTCAATGGCGCCCTCACAGAACTTCCTTACGCCCTCTTTCAATCCTTTTACTTCGGCCTTGACGTGGGTCACCACGTCGCGCGCAAACTCTCTAAAACCAGCCCGCATGGCCTGCAGGGCCACATCGTGACCCCTGTTGCTTTGGCGTTCCTCCAACCACGCCTCACTTAGCACCTCCAGGTACTGTACAATCTTATCTAACTTAGCAGGGACCTCTGCTTGTGCCTGCAACTCTTGCATGCATCCTCGTACTTTCTCCACCTCTGCGGCAAATCGGGCAGCTTCCTCCCTCCTTTTCTTCTTCTCCCTCTTCATGTTCAACTTCCACTCCAACTTCTTCTCATCTTCTGTCTCTTGACGTTCCAGGGGGTCGTCTATCATCTCCAAAGCCCTGGCAAATGCCTCCTTCTCCTCCTGTGGCACATACAGCTGCGCCTCCTCGTCTTCTCCCAAAGACAAATTTGCCACCCACTCACTGATCTTCTTCTCCATTTTTGCATTCTCCTCTACCGTGCCACTGCTCTTCCCTCTTTCTTCCCTACGTCTTTTTCAAGGTGTTCTTCCTCTGCTTCTGTTGCTGCTGCTGCTTCTTCAACAACCTTTCTTCTTTCTTCCTCCTCCTGTTGAACCCTCATCATCTTCTCCTCCACCTTTTTCATTTTCGTCGCCTGCTCCTCTGCGATTGCTTTTAACTTCGCCTGCTTCAGGAGCTCTTTCTTTTCCATGTTCTCTCTCACTAGGGCAATCATCTGCTCTTTTTGAGCCGGAGTATAGGGGCTAGTACTCTTCCTGCTACGGGTGTCAACCATGGTGATAAGTGTACAACTGGGTCAACGGTTACAAACCTCACCACTTCGACTCTAACCCCTAACTGACAAACTTACTGACTCAATCCAAAGACTCACAGAATCCGAACAGGGATCCTGTCAACTAGAGTCTCTAGCCTCGACCTACTCTAAGGTTGTCACTACAAGACCTGTTGTTGATCAGGAGGCATTTAAGGAGATCCCCCGTAACTCCTTAGGAATTATTTAACGTCGCAAACAGGACGACGCGATCAGCAGGTCTCTCAACACTTTTGATTGCCTGTTGTTCAGTCCACAACTCTGCTTTTTGGGCCTACCGTGCCACACCGAGCAGCCCGCCGGTCTCTACCGGTCCCTGGGATTGTTCGTGTCCTCCGGGACAATGGAGTCGTCAGACACAGTCTTTAGCCCTACTTAGTCCGGCAGGGGTTTGGTCAACAAGGCCCTATCCTTCATCCACGAAGCTCCTACACCTAGACAACAGAGACTCAATGCAGAAAGAAGAGACAGACAGACTTGACTCAGCAAGTACCACAGGGTGTGTGCGCATCCATAGGGCGAGGGGTAGGCTGAAGGCTTGGCGAGATCAACGGTCTGGGTCAACGCCTTGGTCAACGCTCGGTCAATTCTCCATCAACCCCCGGTCAACCCTCGGTCAACTCCGGTCAACCCCGGTCGTACCTGGTCAACTCTCCGGACGGCTATGGCTGCCGGCTTCTCCTTCCTCACCACCCTTCTCCTTCCTTTYTCCTTCCTCGCCTCCTTTCCCTTCACCCCGGCTGTCTTTTTTTTTTTTTTTTTTTTTTTWTYKTTTWTYYYTTYWYYTYYTYKKCTATGGCTTCTCTCTCCCTTCTCGGTCTCCTCCTCCGCCTTCTCTTTCAACCTCCTTCGTTCTCTGTGGTCGAACTCCGCGGCTATGGCCGCCTCTCACTTCGTGGGACTGCACGACACACTTCACAAGTTAGTGACAACCAAACTTGTATCACTCATCTCTCTCTCTCTCTCTCTCTCTCTCTCTCTCTCTCTCTCTCTCTCTCTCTCTCTCTCTCTCTCT